ACGGGTTTTATCGCTTATGGTGGTTTAGGGGCGGTGTTTATGGGTTAGGGGTGGTTGTTTTGGGTGGGGGAAGGGGAGGGGGGGTCGATTTAGGGTGGGGGAAGGGGAGGGGGGTCGATTCCGGTGGGGGGATGGGGAGGGAGGGTTGTTTTTCAATTTCGGGGTGGGGGTTAGGGCAGCGAGAAAGGAATAAGGGAGGGGGGTGGGTTGCGTTGGTGGGGGAAAAGGGCTGTGGTGGGGTCGCCGGCGTTGGCCCAAGCTTTGGGCGCCGACCGCCGGCATGAGGGGATGGTGGCTGACGGGAGATGGGGCAGTTGAGGGTGGCTGGGTTTTTTTTTTTTTTTTTTTTTTTAAACATTTTAATTTTTTTTTTATAAACTTAACGGAATCCGTACAGATTCCGTTAAGTGGTAGCAAATTTTAACAATGTGTTTTTGTGTGGTAGCAAAAAAAAAAAAAAATATATATATATATATATATATATATATATATATATATATATATTGGAGGGGTAGCAAAACTGTGATGCATGTCTTTTGGTGGTAACAAAAGTGAAATTGGTCTAAAATTTATTTTATTTAGGACATTTAATCCTAACTTTCCGACGTTGATTGAATTTTTTCTGACGTTGACCCCCCATGTGCAGCTTATGTGCTCTTCTTTTTACTATACCGACCCCTTTCTTCTATTTCCCTTCTAATTACCCCATTGCTCCCTCTCATTTAAACCCTTCTCTCATAGAAATCTTCAATCGAGGCAATTAATCGCCTTCAACCTTCTATGCCATGAGGCATGCTCCGTCATAAAGGAAGATGTGAAATAGAATCAATTGACACCCTACCCAATACAATAAATATTTAATTGATGATGTTTATAAAATTCATTTCTTTCCATTTTTGTAAATTTAAAACTAATAATTTCTGCAATTGCTCAGCCATGGCTAAGGATAAAGCAAAGATGAGTGTTCCGTCATCTTCTTCGAAAAGTACTTGGGGGACCAATTATACTAAAACTATAGTAATTAGAGCAAAAAGGGGCAACAAACCCTAATTTTTTTGAAAACCTTCAAAGAGATGAACTACGCACAAATTAGGTAAAAGTTTAACAATTACCTTGGCTGAACTTAATTGGTAAAGTCTTTAAATGCAATAAAAAAATAAAAATAAAAAAAGTACCTTGGTCGAATTGAACGACCTTCGATTGAGAGACATTGGTCAATTAATGAGAGAGAGAGAAGAGTTTAAATGCCAAAAGGAGGGGAATAGAAGAAAGAGGGTGGGAATTAGTTTCTTTTTTTTTAATAAATAAAAAATTAAAACAAAAATTAAAAAAAAAAAAAAGAGCGTGTCAACTACACATGGGGGGTCAACGCCGGAAAAATGTCAGCCAATGTTAGAAAGTTAGGATTGGCTATTTCAACAACGAAAATTTACAATAAAGTTTTAAATTGCCAAGAAATTTTTTTATTTTTTCTTAAACAAAAAGGTTGCTCTAAAAGGTTTTTTTGACAAAATTTCCTAATATAAAATATTGTTAGTGGGAATTTATTCAATTGTAAGTAGGAGAGAAAAATAATAATTAAAATAAGGAAAATTTGGTTTACAACACCTGAAAAAAAACACGAAAATGGTTTTAACACTACAAAAAAAAGTTTATTATAACGCCACTGAATATTTAAAAAATTTGATTTTACCACTTAATAGTTTCCGTTTAAAAAGTCGTTAAGTGGGGGTTCATTGTTCCACGTGTCACCATATTATTAGTTTAGAAAAAAAGAAAAAAAAATTTAAAAAAAAACCAAAAACCCTAAAATTAACCAAGCCATCCCACCCCTACCGCCGACGGCGCGCCGCCACCACAGCCCCACCCTAACACTCCCGTTCGCAGCCCCAGCCATTGGAAACTCCTCCTCCTCCCTTGTCCCATCCTCAAATTCACTAGCCCTTCCCCAACGACCACCAAAAACAGCCATTCGTTTTTCAAACCACCAAAAATCGCCCAATAGCATCGCCACTAACGGTTAAAATCGACCGATTTATGGTCGAAATCAACCACTTCAACCTTAAACCGGCCGATTTCAACTGCTAGAGGCCGTTTTTGGTAGCCATTTTTAGGGGGTATGAAAAAGCGGTGGTCGTAATTAGGAGCCATTGTGGAGGGCTGTTATTTTTGGGGAGGGGGAAGGGGAGGGGGTGAACGAGGCTAGAAACAAGGGTTTAAGGGTGACGCGCTACCGGCGATAGGGGTAGGGTGGCTAGGTTAGTTTTAGTGTGTTTGTTTTTTTTATATTATTTTGGACCAATAATATGTTGACACATAGGCATTATGGCCCCACTAACAAGTTTTTATCCATGAATTAGTTAAGTGGTGGTACAAGCCAATTTTTAAAATTTTAGAGGTGTTAAAATAAACTTTTTTTTTGGTGTGTTAAAAACCAGTTTCGTGTTTTTTTTGTGGTGATAAAAATCAAAATTTCCGTAAAATAAATACAAATTTTTATATGTTGTTGGCCACACCGTGTGGCCAGCCATCACGGAGCTGGAGTTACTTCGTTTGTGTTATAGGGGTTGCTTCATCAGTGTTACAGAGGTTATTTCGTCAGTGTAATTGGGGTTACTTGATTAGTGTTATAAGGGTTACTTAGTCAGTGTCATTAGAGTTATTTTGTTCTTTTTCAAGCGGCCACATGATGTGGCCTGCCCACACACAGAACGAGCTGGGAAAAAAATAGTGTAAATGGGGGTGATAAGATAGAAAAATAATAAAGTAGTAGCGGATCCTTACCAAATAAGGAAGTCTTGCAAATATCTATAAACCTATACTAAAGGCGAATAATCAATGACACTTCTTATTACCTTATGAAAAAATTTCCCGCCTTTTTTTGTTTTTCTTTTCTTCTTCTCCTATCTTTTATTTATGGAAATTAAGGAAAACAATTGAAAAGGTGGAGCATATTAAGTTAATAACAATATATATAAGTCAACCATATCATTCACAAACCGGAAAGAATGTGAAAAATCTATACAATATATTAAAAAAAAAATTAAATTAAAGCCTGACAAAAAACGTGTTGTATTAATTATGTTTCATACTACATCAATACTACCTAAATATATGTGAAAAATCTATACAATATATTAAAAAAATTAAATTAAAGCCTAACAAAAAATGTATTGTATTAATTACGTTGCATATTACATTAATACTACCTAAATATATATATATATATATATATATATATATATATATATATATATATATATATATATATATAGTGTCGGGATCAGGTGAGAACCACCTTCTATGTAAGAACACATCCTATATGTGAGAACAATCTCAGCCATCAAATTGTATTCAATCCAACGCATGTGATTAATCACATAAAACTCCTAAATCACACCTAACTGTCATCTTTCTCCACCTAGCTAACTAACTTCTCTCTCCACCACGAGCTTCATCAATGGCGCCTAATCAGTAACAATGTTTCTCGCCTTGAATTGCTTCAAATTGCTTCATCAAAGTAATCATAAGCAAGTTCACACCGACCTTGCTCGCCTTGCGCTATATTACTAATCGCAATTGCAATCGCTGCTACAAATCAAATTCGCCAGGTTATTGAATTGCATGTTAATTGGATGATAATTTTTGATTTTTTGGTTTGTTCTATTCTTATTAATTTGCATATTTAATTGCATCAATCACCAGGTTATTGAATTGCATGTTAATTGCATGATAATTTTTGATTTTTGAGGTAAAAATATAATATAATGTTAATTTTATATATATACAAAGTATGATATTGTATGACTACTTTCGTCGTACTCATAGAATTAATCTTTTAAATTTGTTGTAAAATTGTAATTGTACTCATCAAATTTAAGTTTGATTAATTTGATAGAAATTGGAAATTTGCAATCAAATTTAAAATGAGAAAATGAATTGAAAATGAGCAAACCTAAATATTTGTAATAATATAAAAAACATATAATGAGCAAACATAATTAAATTGAGCAAATCCAAAAAAAAAATGAGCAAATATAAAAAGGAGCAAATGAGCAAAATAAGTTGGTAATGGTGGTGGTGGTAGGGTGTAGGGGACAGGGGCGGTGGCGAGGGAGTGAGAGTGAGACAGGTTGTGGTGGTGATATTGGTGGTGGTAAGGTACATGGACATGGGTGGAGGAAGGAGAGAGAGTTTGGTGGTGGTGATTATACAGTGTAAGATAGAGGGTGAGAAATGGGATTCATCTCATTAATATGAGTTGCAGAAGCAGTGAAAGTGAAAGAGGTAGCTGTAGCTAATGAGCAAATATTTAGTTGCTCATTTATCAAATGAGCAAGTGGTTGTGCTTCTTAGATTGAGCACTTCTGTGTGCTGTGATAATATGAAATTACTGTGTGTGTGTGTGTGTATGTGTAAGTGAGTGTAAGAGTGCATGTGTTAGAGTGTGTGTGTGTGTCTAAGAATGTATGGTTTTTGTAGGCAAATATGCTATACTGAATGCTATATATGCTAGGTTTTTCAAATCATAGTGAAGGGTAGCATTATCAAGTTTTACTCCTTTTCAAATCATCTAGTTTCTGCTATCAAAGCGTCGAGTTCCTTGGTTTTCTTGCCTGCACACAAGCCCCACCCCCCTTCTTTCTTGGTCTATTTCCTGCACACCATCCACACTCCCTTCTTACACTTCTTTATACAAACCTATTCCCCCTCCCTCCTCATCTTTCAGTTTGCAATTCTGATTTCTGAATCTGATTTCAGATCTAATTTAGATTCTGAAATTATTTTGTGTGTATGTGTGTGTGTGAGTAAGTGTAAGAGTTATGCTGTAAGTAGTAATTAGTATGGTTAAAAACATGATTCAGCAGCACATATGAGATTTTTAATGAGCTTCCTTAAACTCTCCTCGTTTACCAGATTTAGGTCGAGCAACCGCTAAACTAAGTCTATTTTATGGAATTGTTACTAACCTGTTATTTTTATTATATTTAATGTCAGAAATGATGAGCAACAACGAAGAACTTGACAGTCATTCTAGTACAATCACAAATGTGGCAACTACTCCTACAATAGTAGTTTCTCCTAAAGTAGCACCTTTGCTCACTCCTGGAGGAACAAAAGAATGGCTTCCAATATGCCCCAATGAGTTGAAACCAGCTATAGGGATGAAGTTTAATAATCTTGAAGAGGGCCTTGAATTTTATAAAAGATACGCATTTGCTGCTGGATTCAACACAAGAAAGTCTACAACTAAAAGGCAAAGAAGAAGCAAAGAATTGAAATCACAGTATATCTTATGCAATAAAGAAGGATACAAAGAGAAAAGAAAGCCTACTGTTGAAAAAGATTTAAATAACAACGAAGGAGAAAGCAATGAAGAAAAAACTTCAATCAAAAGGAAGAGACTCGTTACTCGTGTTGGGTGCAAGGCACATATTGTCATAAAGCATTGTGATGATAACAAATTCATAGTGTCACAATTTCATGAGGGACATACTCATCCACTTTATACACCTAGTTGAAATCTCTTCCAAAAAGAAGGAAGAAAAATGAACATATTGCACAAAAAAATAATTGTGAATAATTCTAAGGTACGACTTTCAATGTCTCTTATGTTTCATGAATTCTTTGTATGTTCTAATAAAAGTAGTATGCTCATTTGAAAAATGAGTATTTAATTGTTTGTTTATTTGAAAAATAAGCATTAAATTGTTTGATCATTTGAAAAATGAGCATTAAATTGTTCAAATGAGCAAGCAAATAATTGAATTGTTTGCTCATTTTAAAAATGAGCATTAAATTATTTGCTCATTTGACAAACTGTTTCGTTCTTTGAATAGGTGAATATTGGTCCTGTTACAACTTTTCGAATGATGAAGGAAATTTTTGGAGGATATGATAACATTGGTGCATCTAAGCAAGATTTCAAAAAATTTCATAGAGATTTGAAAGCATACATTCAAGGAAGTGATGCTCAAATGTTCGCGGATAACTTTACCAACAAAAAGCTAATGTGGAGCGCTTTTTTCTTTGATTTTGAGATGAATGAAGATTATTGCCTTCGTAGAGCATTATGGGCTGATCCCCTTTGTAAAAAGAGTTACGCTCTATTTGGTGATATGGTATCCTTTGATACCACATACCAAACCAATAGGTAATTCATAAAAATCACAATTCATTTTTATGTTATAACTATAGCTTAAATTAATAACTTTGTTTTAAATGAACTTAGTATAACTGTTTGCTTATTTCATTAATGAGCATTGACTTATTTGCTCATTTCAGAAATGTGCATTCAATTATTTGCTCATTTGACAAAAAAGCAAACAATTGTTTGCTTATTTCACAAATTAGCATTGAGTTAGCATTGATTCCTCATTTGTCAAATGAGCATTGAATTATTTCAGTAGCTGATGACAATTCTTATTTCATAATCTGATTTCAGATTCTATTACAGATTGTGAGTGCGTGTATGTATGTGTATGTGTGTGTGTGTGCATGTGTGTGTCTGTGTCTAAGTACGTGTGTATGTGTATTTATGTGTGTGTGTAGTTATTTGATCATTTAAAATTTAATCTGTATGTGTAAACAGGTACAACATGGTGTTTACTCCATTTACAGGGGTTGACCATCATAAGAGCTGCATTACTTTTGCTGCTGGTTTCATAGCAAAGGAAGATATAGTGTCATTTGAGTGGTTGTTCAGATCATTTCTCAAGGCAATGGGTGGAAATGAACCGAATTGTATGATTACAGATCAAGATCCAGCAATGAAAATTGCTGTTAAAAGTGTGTTTAACAAGACTGAACATCGCTTCTGTATGTGGCACATAATGAAAAAGTTACCAGATAAGGTGGAGAAATCAATCATGCAAGAAGAAACTGGTTTCCTAAAAAAATTATATGCTTGTGTTTGGCATCTTGAAATTGAACCTGCTGAGTTTGAAGAAAGGTGGAACAAGGTGATGGTTGAATACCACTTGGAAGAACATGAGTGGTTAGGTTATATGTACAAGATAAGGAACAAGTGGATTCCGGCGTATTTCAGAGATGTGTACCTTGGAGGAATAATGCGTACAACATCAAGATCCGAAAGTGAAAACAACTTTTTCTGCTCCTTTATCAATCCTCATGTGTCACTTGTTGTGTTTTACTTGAGATATGAAGCTGCAATTGATGCCCAAAGACACACTCAAGGTCAGAATGATAATGATTCAAAGCACAAATATCATGAGTGCAAAACACCACTAGGGATAGAAAAGCATGCCTCACATTTATATACTAACTTTGTCTTTTATGAATTTCAATATGAGGTTGAAATTGCTTGTTTTTCTTGTGGTGTTGATGAATTGAAGAAAGAAAATGGATTGGAAGTTGCAAAAGTAAGTGAAGGAAATCGGATTAGAACATTTGATGTTGTGTTTAATCCAACTAACTATGACACCACATGTTCTTGCAAGCTATTTTATAGACAAGGAATTCCATGTAGACATATGATTTGGGTTTGGAAAGCAAAAAGGTTTGAAACCATTCCTGAGCAGTATATGCTACACAGATGGACTACTATGGCACTGAAAAAACCAATTTTTAACTTGGGTGGAAACCTGTTGGAGCAATGTGCTAATTTAATTGACAAAAAAAATTGTTAAATGATTTATGGTCAGAGATACACACTTGTGTAAGTTTGGCAGAAGGCAATGATGAAGATATTTAAGATCTTGTGATAAATCTTCAAGGAATAAGAAAGGATTTGGAGGCTAAGAGGATTGCAAGGAATAATGAAACAACAGGAAGTGCAAACAACAAAGGACAAGACATTGAGCTATTGATTAGAGCTAGTGTGCTAACTGAAATAATTCTCAAACCTCCAAAAATTTCAAAGAATAAAGGGACTGGAATTCATGTATCAAATGTAGAGACTTCAAAAGAGAAAGGGGCTGAGATTGATGTGCCAAATGTTGAAACAAGAGGTAGAAGTGCAAAAAGGCTGAAGGGAGAAAAAGAAAAGGTTGTAGAACAAAACTAGAAAAAGAAGAGATTATGTAGAGGTTGTGGTGAATTGAGTCATCATGATATTAGAAATTGTCCAAACAAAGTATAATGATACTTTTATACAAATATAAAAGTTAATATTTTTATATAAATGTATGATTTAGCATTTTGTGTTTTAAATTTTGTTGAAATGAGAAAATATTTTGCAAGCTCTGTTATTTATCATACACACATGTAATTATACCAAAGCTATTCTAATGTCCTTGGCAACAGAAATAGTCCAATCCAAGATATTATACAATGAGTTCAGTAAAGAGAACAACCCAACATACCCTAATCTTCAAAATCATAGAGGCTAAATTAACTAGATATATGCTGATATTTGTATAATGATACTTTTATACAAATATAAAAGTTAATATTTTTATATAAATATAAGATTTAGCATTTTGTGTTTTTAATTTTGTTGAAATGAGCAAATAGTTAATGCTCATTTGTCAAATGAGTAAACATTCCTTTTAATAATACATTAAATCAACAACCATTTCTTTGCTCATTTGTGAAATGAGTAAGCATTAGTTTGCTCATTTTTTAAATGAGCAAATAATTAGTTACTCATTTAAAAAATAAGGAAACATTTCTTTGCTCATTTAGCAAATAAGCAAATAGTTAGTTGCTCATTTGTCAAATGAGCAAATATTTATTTGGTCATTTGGCAAATGAACAATTATATACTGTTTGGCAAATGAACAATTAATTTTTTGCTCATTTAAAAAATGAGCAAATAGTTAGTTTCTCATTTGTCAAATGAGCAAATAGTTAGTTGCTCATTTGTCAAATGAGCAAATAGTTAGTTGCTTATTTGTCAAATGAGAAAATAGTTAATTAGCAATTTAACAAATGACCAACAACTTAGTTAATAAGATAGAAAATGATATCCATTACATTGACATAGCAAAAGTTATACTTAGAAAATCCTAACAACATCACAAAAACATTTGATCAACTAAGAACATTTATCACATTTGTCCTATTAAGAACATCATAAAACTAACACTTCTATTGTTCTATACAAAACCTATACAAATCCTAAGAACAATTGATTAACTTCAGTCTTCAATTCTCTCCGTTAATTGCTCTTGGATTGCTGCCCCTAGCTTTCTTCAGCATCACTTGCTTCCTCAGCCTTTTTTTTCTGTTGGACAACTTGTTTAACAGGTTTAATAGTATTTACTTCACTTGAAATAATTGAGAGGGTATACTTTAAACGAAGTTTTTCAATAATTATGTCCTGCAAAGAGAAAAAATGAAGTAATAATTCAGAGTAAGTATAGGGTAAGTAATGGCTTCATGAATGTATATCAACAAGCTGCTCACAAATTTTAACCTAAAAAGTGCAGATTTCTCATTCTAGAAGAAGCAAATTATAAAAATTGCAATTAGACTTTTTCTGGTTAGACTTACATTATTTTTCTTTAAATGTGAAAGACTATAAGTTGCAACAACAAGCATGAAATGTGAAAGACTTACATTATTTTTCTTTAAACCTGAATTTCACTTTTGCCAACCCATATATGTTTCCATATGCCTCATCATTGCAACGCCGCAATGCAAATGATGATCATCTGAAGACTTCCAAGGTAAATCAACCACGACAGACTCCATAGACTTGATCTGTTTTGACAAAACAACACTTGTATACTTCCTTCACCATTCATGAAATATGAAAATGCACTTTTCTGAAAATGAACAAATAAGTTAAAATAAGAAAAAAAACAGGTGGAACAAATATAGTTAGAATAAGCTAAACAAGATCAAGATAAACAACTAAACTCAAATCAATTTTTTAAAATAATCTAACAAAATCTTGAGCCATTACTGCCACCTACCCACACAAACCTACCCACACATTACACAATTCTGATTCCAGAAACTAATTTCAGAATCTGATTTCAGATTCTATTACAGGTTGTATGTGTGCTTGTGTATGTGTGTATGTGTGTGTGCGTGTGTGTGTGTGTGCATGTGTGTGTGCGTGTGTGTGTGTGCATGTGTGTGTGTGTGCCTGTGTATGTATGTGTGTGTGTGCGTGTGTGTATGTGTGTGTGTGTGTGCCTGTGTGTGTGTGTGTGTGTGCATGTGTGTGTGTGTGTGTGTGTGTCTGTGTGCGTGAGTGTGTGTGTGTGTGTGTGTATTTTCTTGTTATGGGAGAAAGGAGAAATTCAGAGGAGAATCCTGAAAGGGTTAGGGTACCAGTGATATAATGAGAGGAGACATGAATAAGGAATCTGGTTACAATATGACAGGCATCAATGAGGATATTGATGATGAAGAAGAAGTGGCAGAAGACATACCAGATTTTTAAGCAGTTTCTTATTTTCTCAAGGACCTTCACTGTAATCAATAACCTCAATTGTACCACAGTCTGTGGTGGTGTTAAAACATACCAGATAATAATGATCCTTTTCAAATACTGGGAAAAAGAAAAGCTCAATATCTTTCTTTGGGATGATTGTTTTGCTGAATTCCAACTCCACAACCTCACAAAACATTTTATTCCTTTCTTGAGCACGATCACTTTCGTATTGAAAAAGGCAATCCTAAAAAAATACATAAAGAAAAATATATAAATAAGATGAATATAAATGAAAAGAGTAAATAACAAATGAGCAAAGTGAATATGAAATGAGAAAAGTCATATAAAATGAGTAAATTGAATTTTTTTTACAAATGAGCAAGTGAATGTTTTGCTCATTTAACAAATGAGCAAAAAAATAACTGCTCATTTGGCAAATGAGCAAAAAATTAATTGCTGCTATCATTCAATTATTTATGTAATTACAGAACATGCAGAATGTTAGTTATCAGATAGCATCAGAAACTTAAAGAATTAAGACCTTTGGTTTAAGCTTTATTTTATCAGTCTCATTTGTGCTTACACGGATATCTGCCATGAAAATTACGAATGTAATTAAAGGTCATGCTATAATATATGAAAGTTAGTTCATGCTAATGCTAGTTTATGCTTTAATCTTGTTCTTTTAATATTTTAAAAAGAATAAGATTGATCTGATATATGATAGTTCATGCTTTAATATATAATGATTGTGGCATATATCATGAGTTCTGAATACATTAGTTTGCTGGCTTTCCAAAATTCATACAACGAAAATTCATTTGCTAATCTTGATTGAGGAATTCCTAATAGCTTAGTGAACTAGGACTCATTTTCTGAACACTTACAACCTGCTCTCCACATTTATCCAGTGAGGCAGTGTGGTGGATGTACATAGAATATATAGAATTATAGATGCAACGTGTCTGTGAATTCTCGCTCGTCACTGATTCAGACCATAATACAGGTCATAAATAAGAGTCTGAATTGTGCAGGACCAAAATTAGACCATAATACAACTCATAAACACTGATTATACATTGATTCAGACCAAAATCAGTGTTAGATAATTAGACCAAAATACGTTGCATTGTAAAATTCAGACCTGATTGTTAAACTATTCTCCAATAATTAACCTTGGTTAGTGAAATAATAGAAACTAATGGCCCTTTAACTTCTAATTAGCTACTAACGTTATGTTTAAGACAATTCTTAAAGTATATAGTTACTTTTGGGATTTTTTAAAACTTTAATGCTAGCGATGGGAAAAGTGTAAAATACAACGCTATCAATGGAAATTTCCCAAATTTTTATTAGAAGTTCATAACACATCATTTGTTTCTATTTGCTAGGGACATTGATCAATTTCTTAAATCGGCTACTTTTTGGACAAAGGAAGTCAGAATTTATATTGTTATCAAAATTAATTGCTCATTTGACAAATGAGCAAAAATTAATTGCTCATTTGATAAATGAGCAAACGCAAGACAATACGCTACAAAGTGCAAACAAACAACCATGACATGATTATGCCTTGAAGATAACTATAATAGGCAAATTTCTTAAATTAGTTCTGTATTTCAAATATTTTATCAAAAGATTTTATGTTATTTAGTATCCAATAAGAGACTTGAATTAGTTTAGTATTTATTTTTTGCTCATTTGACAAATGAACAAGAATATTTGACAAATGAGCATTGAATAGTTTGCTCATTTGACAAATGAGCAAAGAACTAATAATAGTTTTTTCAAATACAAAACAACATCTACATTCAAATATAAAAAAATTATATGAAATGAGCAAAGTGAACATGAACAAAATAAAACAAAATAAAATGAACGAGTTGAACTTACAACTGCATTAAGACCTAAAAAGAAACGTCCACTAGAATTGATATCTCTATATTGCTCATTAAAATTCAGAACATTAGACCATGCATTAATGATATCGCCATGAATTTTGCTTTGAGTTTTTAGCATTTCAAGTTGAAATAGCATTACTTCAGTATCAGGCTCACCCTCGCATAAAAACCTTGCATCACTACATATAAGATTTAGGGAAGTTAAAATAATTTCAATCGTAGATATGTAAAGTGAGAATATAGAGCTAGACTTGTTATAAGAAAGAAAAATAAAGTCAGTTGCCAAAATTTCCAGAACTGAAAAAAATTGAATAAATACTTACAAACGATTTTTCTTCTCATGAAAAAATGAATCCATAACACCTTTCTAAATTGCTGTTAATGGTGTATATATGTTGATAATCCGAGACTTAAAAGGAGATCTTATCTGCAACGATGGTTGCACTTTACGCTTCTTTGGAATACAACTCTCATTTTCAACATCTCCTTTTCTCTTAAGCGTAATTGGATCTTCTTGAGCATTCACAAAATCAGCATCAGCATCATCAGCAACAACATCAACAGTTGATTTAGAAGCACCAACTTGTGCACTGACAGGAGCAACTACACGTTCATCAGTAGGTGCAATGCCAGGGGACTTCTCCTGAGAATCAATTTCTTGAGAAGAGATTCCTAAGCTGAATGAAGGAGTTCCACATCCTTTGGCAACTGAAATTCTTAAACTATATCTTATACTTGACTCTCCAAGTTTTTTAAACACATGTTCTGCAACCTTAGGCTGTATGATAACAGAAGGAACTTCAACATCAGGTATACCACTTGCTATGTGAACACATTCAGCAGCAATCTTAGTAACATCAATTGGTTCTGATTCAATCAGATGATCAACCCTAGCATTAATTGTAGATTCAACATGCTTGTCATTGCTTGAAATCTTTGAAAACCTATCCCAAACTTCAATTACAGCTGATCTTGCCAATACTGTGCATCTTGGCTAAATGAGAGAGGAATATCTTCAGTCAAAGCTTTAGAGCTCATCTTTTGCTCATCACAAACAGTCATTGCATCTTCCTTCAGCTCTTGAATCTTCTCATTGTTTGGAAAATACTTAACAGCAGTTTCATGTTTTTCCACTGAAATCCATGTATGCCAAGACTAGATTTGTATATGCTGTTGCAAGCTCCAAAAGACATTTCTATAAAAAAAATACATAATAAGGTTAATATAATTGAAAAGAGAAAATATGAAATGAGCAAAGTGAATATGAAATGAGCAAAGTAGATGTAAAATGAGCAAAGAAATGTGGTACAGAAATGTGATATTAACCCTATCCTCCCTAAGATACAACCAGAAGATGTATCTTAGGGAGGATACGGATTGGGCTGATAATTATGATGTAGATTCAGACAAATTTTCATAGGTTAGCTTAGGGGAGGAGGCACAAATCACTATTTTACAAGGTCTGGGCAGAAGTCTGACACTAATATGGTACAAGGGTAGGACAGGTAAGCTACATATGGGACATCCATAGTTATATGCCAAAGCCACAAACCTCTTATGACATATTCAAGTTCTAAAGAATAGACATTTTCAGCATTTAAACAATTTAAAAATTATATGCTAAAGGCAAATCAAAGACATTTTAACAAGGCATAACTATAATTTTGGATATTAACTAAGTAGCACAAATGAACTTAACAAACCAGTAAGCAGAAGCAACAGAAATAGTCCAATCCAAGATATTATACAATGAGTTCAGTATAGAGAACAACCCAAAATACCCTAATCTTCAAAATCATAGAGGCTAAATTAACTAGATATATGCTGATAGTTAAAAAAAAATGATATCGGATTCAATTAATATGCACAACTCAAAGGATATTCACCATGAAAGTCACCCTCACCTCATAACAACTCGCACACCCCCAACCTTTTAACCCCCTACTCTTTCATCGCACGGCAATCCCCAAATTCACAAAACAACAATACAAATTCACAAATTAAGTAAAAAATAACAAAAATTTAGAAAAAAAAACAAAAACAAAAAATGAGCAAAGTCATATAAAAATGAGCAAATTAATATAAGTTTCCAGAAAAATCATATAAATACCTTCTTCGGATCTTGTTCAATTTCTTCATTTTTTGTATGAATTGGATCAGATTGTTCCTAAAATCAAGCAAAAAAAAAAGGTAATTGTGTAATTTTCATCCAAATCACAGAGTATCAAATGAGCAAAAAATAATTGCTCATTTGATAAATGAGCAAAAAATAATTGCTCATTTGACAAATGAGCAAATATTTTTTTACTGATTTAGGAGGTCAATTAATGTTCTATAAAGAGCACCACATTGCATCATTTTCCTAAAATCAAGGTTTGTTCCAATTCAATTCTTCAAGCAATGCCAAAGACATAGAAAAACTAAGTATTGGTTACAAGTGAAATACCATTTTTGGTTGTTTGTTGCCAGAAGGACCAACAAGCTTCTGATTTTTATCAAAAACTACAAGCCTCCCCTTAAAAATTTCCAATTTCTCACGACTTGAAAACATATTGGTTGTCCAACCGTTGAGAACTGGAGTTTCTCGTTTGGCTCTAACTTCCTCAATGACAAACTGATCAACGTATAAAAGCTACAAACAAGTTAGATAGAAAAAATTAGTACATTAAAATTAAACAAATAACAATTAATACATAAAATAACTACAAACAAGTAAGAAAAAATAATTAGTAAATTAAAAATCAACAAATAAGTAAAAAATACTACATTAAAAAAACAACAATATTAAAGTAATACCATAAGAAACAGTAAAGACCCAGGAAAAGAACGAGTTTGACGTTCTTCCCAGAAAAGCTTGGCCTTCACAAGTGAATCAAGGATATACTTGCACCAACTCAAGTCCTTTATTTTATCAACATCAGAAAGAAATGTGAGAATATCAGAATTGATATTCACATTTTGTTTCCCTGACAAAAAAATGAGCAAAACAAAAGAAAAATGAGCAAAAGGAAATTTAAATGAACAAAATATAATATAAATAAGCAAACAAAATTGAAAATGAGAAAACTCCTATAAAATTTAAAACCACGATGTTGACTCTCCACCTTTTCCCGATGATATAATTAATTTATAATATAACTTGAAATTTTTTGACAAGTATGTTAATATGAAGTATGTACCAAATCCTATTCCAAATTTGTTCACCCATCTCATCATTGACTAACAACAATAATCCAACAAATTATACAAACTACTAAGATAGCCCAAAAGATAAATACATAGAACAAAATATAAATATATATATATATATATATATATATATATATATATATATATATATATATATATATATATATATCTTATTCTGAAAGTGTCAACAGTCTCTATCTAATGATGTATAGTTTCAAGTAACTGATTCTATACATATATGACCAACAACTTAGATAATATAATTGCTATATATAGCACACAACTGCTAAGTGCTAACTTTAACTAAAAATAAGCAAAATAAAAATAAAAAGTTTACCATCTATCAATGTAGAAACGCATAGCACTACAAAGTTCCTTTTGAACATAAGACTAGTTGAGTTATGCTCTTTCAGAAACTCTTTCAGCTCCCCTATTTTGATAGAGAGTGAGTTGCTTTTGAATTGCTTCTTCCATTGCTGAATCACTCTCTTATCTCTGGAAAAATTATTTTTTGTCAATTTCTATGCCACCCATTGGCAGCCCAAGTACTTGATGCACATGCTCTTCAGTGATACAAAAAGGTTCAAAATCTGGAATGTTTAAAGAGCATGTGTAAGCATCAAAGTGATGAACCAACCATAAACCCAACTGTGGCTATAGTGTGTTCCTAAAATGTGGATGAGTGTACTTTGATTGTAATTTCCCCCAATGTTGGATAGACCTTGTATCAGTAGACTTAAATGAGTAAATTCCATTTACTACAAGACCATAATGACAAAACAAACAGGAGAGAATGAGTAATTATGGAGTACATTTCATTATATTTATTCTCTGATATTAGATTTGTGTTCTGTTATTAAAGCTTAATTTCAAATGAATTAAGCTTTTTATACACATAAACAAGGCTAATAATGCTTTTTTTTCCTGAATGCAGCAAATTTGTCATAGAGATCTTAAGCTGGAAAACACTCTCTTAGATGGCAGTTTAGAATCGCGTCTCAAAACCTGCGACTTTGGCTACTCTAAGGCAGGGAAACTCCTCTGAATCTATCATGTTGTTTATAATCAATTACTAATCATGACTAATCTTTGTTAATTATAATAGTCTGCAGTGCTACATTCTCAACCAAAATCGACGGTAGGAACACCGGCCTATATTGTCCCAGAAGCCCTTTCCCGAAAGGAATATGATGGAAAGGTAGTGTAACAACTAGTGAATAGTGATAGAGCGCTCTAGATTGCAATAAAAATATAAACAGCTACATGTGTTACAGAGATGTAATATTTCAAGCAAAAAAGCTCAGTAAGGTCAGGAGATTAAACAAAATTCAGCAGGTTAGGTAGACTACATGACATAAAGGTGCAATTACACATCATGGAGGACCTTACAAAAGACTCGGAACCATCGACTTTACCGGTTAGATAATATAACACATTCAACGCTCCCACTATTTACATGAAACAAACCACCCCAAATTCAGTTCTGGGCAAAATCATTACATTAAACGTTCAAGGTACAGAATGAACCAGTTTAAAAACCTGCAAAGAGCAAGGTACAGGAATATACAGACGAAAGAAGACACCCATAAAGATTGACCCAAGTACACAAAGCATGGAATAGAGCAACATTAATCATTGAGAAATTAAGAAGATTGTAGTAAGAATTCATGGTAAGGAAAGAATGCTAGGACTAAAGTTACTACCAGAGTATACGACAAAGTGACCCAGAGTTATCCAGCACCCAGCACTAATGACTAACTAAGCACCAAAAAACGCAAAAGAAGAGAACACAAACTTATCAGGTGGTCAATTCCATAATAGCACAAACAATATCACCATCAGCAGCCTTAAGTACCTTGACTACCTTGCCCCTTGGGACCCAGCCTTGAGTCAATATACACTCAGACACACAGTTGAACAGAGTCATGGTCACTAGTGACTCAAAGATAATCGACAAAAAGTAACCTAAAATTAATACACAACCAAAGCAAGAAGACTTGTAAAAACCTAAATTCGGAGAAAATAAAACTAAAAATAACTTGATAATTACTAAAAAAAAAACGAAAAAAAACTAAAATCAACAAAAAAAAAACAAACTAAAAGATAATCGACACAAAGTAACCTAAAATTAATGAGCTAAAATGAGAACAAATTAAACGAAAAGCAAAACGAAAATCAAGCAAAAATCGCAACAAAATCAAGCAAAAATCGCAACAAAAAAACATAATATCGCAAATACAAAACCAAAACAAGAACACTTAGTAAAACCAAAATTCAGGCAAAATAAAACTAAAATTTACTGGATAATCACTCAAGAAAACGAAAATAAAACTAAAATCAACAAAAAATAACAAAATAAAACATAATCGACACATTGCATATTAAAATTAATGAGCTAAAATCAAAAAAAATTAAACGAACATCAAAACGAAAATAAAACAATGAATGTAACCTAAAATTAATTGAAAAACAGCAAATGTATAAACAATAGACTCACATTAACGAAAAATTGATGAAGATTGAAGAAGTTGTGATGAAAAATCAGAGAGCAGCAGAGTAGAACATCGTTGAATTGAAGGAGGAGAAAGAAAAATGAGCGAAAAAGAAGAAGGAGAGAGAAAAAAACGTAGGAAATAAATTTTGAAATAAATTTTCTTTGTTTTGTTTGTTTTACCGGGTTGTATTATGACCCTTGGATGTAGTTGATCCAACGGTTGTAATATGTCCTCACATAAAATAGGGTTCTCACATAAGGGAGGTGGTCTCATATGATCCTATATATATATATATATATATATATATATATATATATATATATATGCAATTTTTTTAAAATAATTATTACTATAATATAGCTTCAATCATTTCAATACGTATTAGAAAAATGATGATTTTTAGGGGCAACAACTTTTGTCCGGCATTTTTTTAGATGACAAAAAAATAATATCACCAATTGACAATTTTTTTAAGATGATTAAAACCAAAGAGAATGAATTAGTAAATAATGATAAAAGAAGGAAACATGTAACTGCATTAATAAAGTCCAAATGTCGTGTTTGACCCTATTTGTTTTACTTTTATTTTTTCAATTTTAACTGTTACATATAATTAATTTAAGATGATATTTTTGGAGTTGATTACCGTGCGTAGCACGGAAGCTAAACTAGTTAGGAAAGATAGGTAGAAAAATGTTGCAATTATTACAAAATGGAGGAAATGATATATTATTACTCCATTTGTCCCTATTTAGTTAACATAATTTGATCGACACAGTGTTTTAAGCATTTTATTAGTTTTAGTATTTTATTACTCCCTGTTTCATAATAATCGCAATAATTTCCCTTGATATTCGTTTCAAAAGAATCGCAACAATTTTTTATTTATTTATTTATTTTTTTTAACGTCTATTTTCATAATAATTGCACCACTTCATTATTTGGTAAGTATCTACTACAAGTATTTTATTATTCTATCTCCTTCTAATTCCACTTACACTACATTTTTTTAAGCAAAATTGGCCTCAATAGCACCAACTATAGGTACTGTGCAAAGAATAGCACAACCTTAATCAAGTGCATCTACATCACACACTATTAAGGTTGGTGCATAAAATGTCATAAATGATATCGGAGACCGGTGATTTTGCCGAAAAGCATATTATTATTTTAATATTTTTAACAAATTTCACCTCTTTTTTTAATTTTCTCTCATCTACATAATTATTTTACTGTACTAAGAAAATGCCCCCTTTATTATAATTCACCCATTACCCCCTCCCCCAATTAATAAAATTACTACTTACTACTCCTTGAATAACACCAATGTATATAAACGAGGAAGAAAACATAAACCAATCCTAAAATCCTAGGCAATCAATTGGCACAAGACATTCTTTAAATTGTACTTTGGTAAATTTTGAAACTCAATTTCTACCCTGTGCTGAATACATGTATTTGGTTATTTGTCTTATTTTCATAATTTCATGAAAATAGAGTATTAGTTGGTGTTGAAATTGATGTGTTGTTTGGTTGAATTATTATAATTTGTGTCGTGATATTTCGATTAATGACACCAGAATTCTTTATTTTGCCAAACATAATCCATTATTTGTTGCAATTCATCATGAATGTCAATACAAAATAAGTTAGAGAAAAGTAATTAGGGAGCACATTGTCCCATGCTGACTAATCCCCCTAGTTTTGTGCATCCGCGCCCACTAACTTTCTTCTTTAAGGCTACTAGTCAAGGCTTAACCCCGAGTATTGCTTCTAGCACAGAAGGCAACGAAAGCTTGAGTAAGTGAGAAAGTAAGTAAGAGGAAGCACAAGAGAGTAAGTTAAGAAAACTTTGATTGCTTGAGAATGTGAGTGTTTACAAAATGCTTGGATGATGCAAAAAATGAAGGGGGAGGCTCTATTTATAGGGCTCCCAATGGCCTAGAGGTTTCTTCTCTAGAACCTTCTAACCTCCTCAAATGGCGGGTCCTAGAAACTAGTTCTCTAGAGAGTTCTATACAATTTCTGGTTACAACTCATATTTACATTATTTCAGAGTGTTCTACAAAACTCTAGGACTACAAGAATGTACAAGAGTATCCTAGAAAGTTCTAGAAGATTTTGGACGTATCCTGAGACTCCTAGCGGAATCTGGAAAGTTCTGGGGCCCACCTTGAAAATCTAACTGCATATGTTCATTGGGTCCAAAAACAGTGGGCCCACAAGTTTCAACCCGTTTGGGCTTCATTTGGGCCTCCAAAAGGCCCATTATTGCGTTCTTGTCAATGTTGTGTTCACTACTATTTTAGCACCATAGCTAAAGCTCTATAGGGGGAAAGTGCTGACTGGCACCCATGGGCATCTCCCTTGGCCCAAGTTGTTGCCTACCGCCCATACGATCGCATTGACGAGACCAAGGGTATGGGACATGAGTTGTGACATGCTCCCCGACTGAATTCTTGACGTCCTCGTCAAGGTCGACTCTCAAAATTGGCTATCTTGTCCTTGTACTGTCATAGGTCCTCCTCTTTCTCCCATGACGCCT